GTTAAACTTAGACGCCGCGCGCGCAGCCCAGCGAATCTCAGATCCGCCAAGAGAAAAATGAATTTGGCCGGCTATCCGGGACCGGCGGACACCCGTCGACGAGAGCAGACGAGAGATTTTTGAGCGCTGCTCCCCCCTCCCCCCCCACCCCCCGCCTGACCGCGAGGGCATTTACGTACGTCGCAATTTTCGGCGCGACATGTTCGCCGCTGCCTCCTCCGGAACGCGTCCTCTGATTTTTGCGAGTTCGTGCGCTTCTCGCGGACTTCTACGTTCTGCGATACGCCGCGATTATTAAAGCTCTCTCACCTGGCGAAGGAGGACACAGATGCAAGTTTGCGGCATCGAGCTTTGCCGCGACTCGACTCCTAATTGTTCAATCTCCCTCAACCTAGCTTTTCTTTTAATGCGAGAAAGGACGGGTGAGAGAGAGAAATCCTCGCGACGGACTGGCGCGAAGGAGCCGATGAAAAGTAATGAATATTTGAATATTCACGCTTAACATTCCTCGAAGGTTTGCATTTGTTGCTAAACAATTTTGTGCTGGCTCAAATATGCTCACACACAAGATTATTGCTTCACAGAAAAGTTCGATATTACGTAGGAACAGGTAAGTCTTTCGAGAAAATTTTGCTTTTTCTCGATTTCTTAACTTCGCTAAATTATCTCGTCTTCACCCTGTGAAAATAAATATCTTTCTCGGAGAGACGAAAAGAAAACTGCAACTGGAAAATTGCACTGAGAACTGATCTTTTGAGCGATTTTTCGAAATACCGGTTTTCAAACTTAAATCAGTTTTTCTTTTCATTTTTTATGTCAGCTCGTTTATCAGCATCGTAAGATTTCTTGTGTCCATCGTATTAAAAAAAAAAAAGCAAGGTTGCAATTAATCAATTCGGAATCGATACTCGCAAATTTGTGCCTTTTTCAAATGTGCTGCATAATACTCGTCTTGTAAAAAGAAAGAAAATGTTTCTCAATAATATACAATATAATAATTATATATAATATAATACACAATTTACATTTATGAGACACGAAGAGCCACACATGGAGAAGAACGTTTAGTTGGACGAATGAATTCGTTGAGAGTTATAAACAGCTCGGAAATTTCAGAATTCTATTTAGGTCAAACCGGCAATCTGAATAGTTTAGGCTGAATTCTGATAACTTCAACCGGAATTTTTAAATCGCGCTCACACGTGACCAGAAAATTCTTCCATTCGACCAAATATTTTCCTCTCCGCGTAGACGTGCCATGTAGAAATTCATGTACGAGGAAGACAGTCGTCCTTTCAGAAGACGTCTCTGAGTTCCGAGAAGAGCGAAAAACGATCCCTAAGCGAGCTTCCCGAACAATCCTTCGCAGGCAGTCGAAAATTTTCCCTAAGCAAATGCAACCCATCAAAATGTTTTAGGAAGGACTCACACCTGGGCAGAAAAGCAGAAAGCAGAAAAACAGCATCAATCCAATCAGAAGTCGCGCTGGTAGTCTCTCTCTCTCTCTCTCTCTCTTTCTCTCTCTTCTATCTCTTTCTCTCTCTCTCTCAAGAGAGAGACAGACTACCAGCGCGGCTTCTGACTGGCTGTTGCTTTTCTGCTTTCTGCTTTTCCGTCCAGGTGTGAATTCTCTCTCAGGGTTGTTCGCGAAAAATGTCGCTCTTCATCCGCGACAGTCGCTCGATCGGCGCGGCTTCGCAATTCAAGGCCCTAACTCCCTTTGTTACAAAGACTGCATGTCGCGAAATCCGAACGCGAGCGCGTATCTCGCGGCCATCTTTCTCGGACGGCGTTATTATTAGCCGCGATTTGTACCCGAAGAATCCGGTTTAGCCGCGACGAGTCGAGAATCAGACGCAGTCCTCCCCGCGAGAAGAGTCCATCCGTCATCATCACGCTACGCATCTCGTTACTTCCTGCCGCCTTTTCACCGCTCGCTCGTCGACCAATGGCGGCCCCTAAACTCGATGAACTCAGCTTCTCTCGAGATCTCTCGGCGACGATTCTACGCGTGCCTACGCGACACCCCCGGCGTCAGGCAGCGAATGAAGTTAACGACGATTAAAACACACCCTCGGGAGAACCTTCTCGATATCCTCGAGAATGTTTTCAGGGCTTGGCGAATTTCTCAGGACATTTCGGAGGTCCGACGAATCGAACACGATGGAATCTCTCTCTCTCTCTCTCTCTCTTTCATCGCGAGTCGCCGGATATTGGCCGAAAATCTGTCATCCATTCGAGAGCATCTCCGCTTTCATCTGTTCGTCGCATTCCAACCCGCTCGGTTTGCAGCCGATTCGCGCGTAAATCAGCCGTAAAGATCGACAGGACGCGAGATGGCCTGCCGGTCGTCCGGGATACTCGCGCGAACTTGACGAGGCGGGTCGCTCGTTGCAAACACAGACTTTTATATTATACACCAGACCGATAATTAGTCTCTTTAACACGTCTCCTAAAGGTATGTATTAAAATTTCGCGCATGCGCGTTGCAGAGTCCCGAAAGGAATGTAACCGCACCGTGCAGGCTTTCTACCCCATAAAACGTTTATATTTATCCAATATTTGATATCTCCTCTCGCAACGTCACATCCAAGGTTCACATAAATATTAAATATTGGACAAGTATCAACATTTCCTGGAGTAAAAACGTCGGTATAGTTACGTTCCTCCCGGGACCTTGCAATGCGCACGATTTTATGCTTCACTTCTCCCTTACTTCGTAAGGGTCACTTTTATACATGAAAACCACAATGGAAGTTCTCAGTCCAGTCTTACATATTGAAGTCTGTGATTTACGAGTCAACAAATAGACAACGTACAGGGAGTCTCATCGCACGCACACAAGTGCTCCGCTTGTTCCAGGCCGGAGACTGAATCGCATATCGAGGACAACGCAGTCACCGGATGCAACAACAAGGCAAACGGGGCTGTCTCCTGAACCGTGGCAAGGACAGCCATGCTACCAAACACGAACGAGAAATCACAGGGATCAGTCACAAGCCTGAGGGGGGAGCAGGCTGAGCTTATCGCGGGCTCGCTGGTCAGCACCAAGCGACAAGCAGCGTCTCGTCAATGTCGGGTAATCCCCCGCTCGACAATGTAAGCGTTACCCGCAACACGTGCGACGCTGCACTCGCGTCGTCGAGTGGGGAAACTGCAACACTGATGCGTGTTACGATCGGTCGATGTCCACTAGGTGCGAAAGTATTGTCGTCGAAGATGGACTCGCCAATTTCGCGAGTAAGACGAACACCGGCGGGGAAGGGAGGGCTCTTGCTGCTTCCCTTCCGATGTCCCGCGGGAATCCAACGGAAGAAGCGGACAAATTTCTCGCATCGAGCCGATACTCGTGGAGGAAGGAGAAGAACGGTGGAGTTCATCGCGTTCATCGAGAGCCGAAGCGAGCGCAGGTCTGTTCTTTCTAGTCGAATTAGATTGCGCTTTCCGCAGTTCAAGTGACACCCCCCCCCCAGTCAGAACCATAATGGGGTTGAAATGATCGATGAACCGCTGAATAAGCCTTCATCGACGTCGAATCAACCTCGAGTCAACATCGTGGTTCCGACTAGGAAGAGTAAATAAATTTGCGTTGCGAAGTGCCGCGCGTCTGCCAGAGTCGTCAAGACCTCGGAAGAATGTTCTTCCCGGCTGAATTAAGTTGCACCTTTTGCCGTTGAAGCAAAATGAGCGAATAAATTTGAAGAAACGACGTTTTTCAGCTGAACAGAACAGACCTCACGTCCGCTCAAGTCGCCGAGACCCCGGCGGGGGTGCGTACGCACCCCCTTCAAACTCCCCAAGGCGAGTCGGCCCGTCTCCCCCCTGCCGCGCCCCCGCGAGACACCGAGTACGCGGTTTCTCGAGCGCGGGGGTGCTGGCGGTAGCAACGGTGGTTGGTGGTGCTGGTGATAGTAGTAGTAGTAGTAATAGTAGTAATCTGGTAGTATACAATGCTAGTATAGTAGTACTGGTAGATACAAGTGATACACAGTGATCAGAGTGAAGTGTGGAAGTCGAGAGATCTCTCTCGTCGGTGGTAGTGGTGGTGGTGGTGGTGGTGGTGGTAGTGGGTCGCACCGAGAGCTCGACGACGAACAGCGCAGCGACGAGGACGACGACGGCGGGCCTCCGCGAGCTCGTCGGCGAGCTGCTCGCGCGCCCGCGGGGTTTCCGGTCGCGCCGCTCTCGCGCTCTGTCGTTGATCGGCCTCGTCGACGAACGGGGGAACCAAGTGCCAAGTTGTCACTCGTCGCTTCGCGCACGACGTCTCACGGGGTGATATCGGTCGCGAACGCGACGGCGAATGCGGGTCGACGTTATTATTACCGGCCCTTCTTATGCGCCACCGAGAGCCGCTAGCTCTGCTCTCGACCCGTTAGCCGGCAGGCTCACGACGACGAGGTCGAAATGACGAGGGCGAAATCGCGCGAAGCTCAGGGTGGAGAAGACGAGGAGCGGAGGAGGGCCAGAAGAGCGGAAGAGCTCGGCTCCCGCTGGCTCCTCCAGCCGGACCCGCTCGAGCTTCGACCGACTACGTTTTGTGCGCGCCGCGCAAAGTGGACGAGAGCAGGAGATGACGCGTGTTCGCCGCGGAAAAGCGTTCCAAGCTGGAAAAGCGTCGCTGAGCGGCACTCAACGACGAGACGCGCAGGAGGGACACTCATCGCGCACGGGCCCGTTCCCACAGATCGGTCGCGCCGGTGAGACGTTGGCGCGATTCAACGAGATTACACACGGGGGTGCGCGCGTTAGGGTGGTTCGCCTCTTGTCGCGGACGGAGCTACCTCTCGTTCTTTCCTCTCCGGCGGGAGTTAGTATCACGTAAAGTCAAACCGTTATCAAGACTCAATTATACTCTTCCAGTCTCCCGTTCTCTCCCTCACTCTCGCTCTCTCTCTCTCTCTCTCTCTCTCTCTCTCTCTCTCTCTCTCTCTCTATCTCTCGCACTCTCTTTCTCTCGTAGTCCGAGCAAAAGCCTCGCTCAGAGTCTCAATACTGACCGTGACGGTGTAGGAGGAGACGAGCGGCCGGGAGTAGGGTCGCCGGGTCGTGTAGAAGTCGCTCTCGTAAACCATGGTTGAAGCTGGGGGTTGCTGGAGGTTCTAGCCGGTGCTAGTCCGTCGTTCGTCTACGAGGGTCGTCGTCGAGTGAGCCGCCGCGCGATTCGACCGCTGGCTGTTGCTCCTCTTCTTCTTCTTCTTCTTCTTCTTCTTCTTCTCCTCGCTCGGCCGGAAAGTCGGGCTCGCCGGGTGTATTTTCGTGCGCGCGTGCGAGGGGAGAGGATACGCGACGATGCGGCCGCGGTGGAGGTTCGTACGGTTCTGTTCTGCTTCCTCGATCGCGACAGCTTTTCTTCTTCGTCCGAACTTTCCTCGCTCGGTCCCCCGCCCGCCCGGCGTGACCCCCTTCACCGCGAATATCCCGTGTCATCTGCGCGTCCTCACCCCACCCGCGTCACTCACTCACTCACTCACTCGGTGAGGCTATTGCGTTATTTTCCCCCGCCCCGCGGCCGCCGGTCGGTGCATTCGCGAGAAAAATAGAATCGTGTTAAGGTTGCGGGCAGCCGCCCCCGTCGCCGTGATCCCCGCGATCCCCGTTGGAGGATCGTCCCTGTCTGGAGCGACTCCGTCGGCTGCCATCATAATGGCCCTGCAAAGACGGCAACTTTTGCCGAGAACGGAGGAGAGGATACGAAGTCTTGCATATTCGCAGAAGCATGGAATTGGAGTGAACTGTGCGGAAATGGAGCTGGCGACCCGCGACGCGGAGTAGAAGAGAAGAACATCAGCGAGTCTGGAGAGTCTGAGGGAACTCTCCGCTTAAGGAGGAATCGTAGAAAGCGTGTTGCTTTGGTCGTTACCTTTCAATTGTTTGCCTGCGAACTGTGGCCCGATATCTTCCCACTCGGTAAGCAATATTTCAGCAATGTATCAGCAATGTTGAAAAGATTACTGATACGTTGATGATATATTGCGAAATACCGCTTGCCGAGTGGGTTTGTGATATTCACCTTTCGCGCGCGCTTTCGCGTCCCGTTTACGATCCGAAATCTCTCTTCGAGCCTGATCTCATCGGCGGAAAAATATACTTTTCTACGAGCGATATTCTTAGAATGAAAAACGACCTCGCATTCCGCAGCTGGACAATCGTGTCAAGGTAGCTCCAGACCTTTTGTCGAGTACGAATCTGTGTCTGACGCACCAATTTATTATACACTTATGTATACACGCAGTTGTTCATAATATTATTCGAACATTGTACATAACGCTTCTATCTGTACAGATAGATTTATTAACTTTTGGAAATTTCAAAGTCATCAAGTTGACAAAGGTTAGGGCACTATCGCAATAGCATATTCTTAAGACCAAATAGAGTAAAAAAGTCTAACACTCCCCCCCTCCCCACACTTGTTCTTCCGACAAATAATTACCAAGATATCGTAAACCTTTTAAGTATCTCAAAAAATGTTCGGCAAATAAAAAAATGTTTCAGACAAAAGTTGTTTAAATCAAATAACAGAAAAAAGATGGTATATATATATATATATATATATATAGACGATAAAAAATTGAAGTTTTCATTCCGCGAATATCTCGAAAGTGGCGCCATCTGTAAACAAAATGATACCCACTTTTACCTTAAAAACATTTTTCCGTATGTTTTAAATTTTTCGAGATATTTAAATGGATAAATAAAAATGAGCCATCCTGTATAACATTCGAATAATATTGTAAAAAATTATATAAACGCAAAATGTTATATATTTTGTTGAATCTGAGACACAATAGCCCCCGTGCAATATTTTCAATTTCACATCTGTATGTATGCAGGTAAAGCACGTACGCCTTAACGAAAAATAACTCCTCGATGTGTAAACGATCAAGAATGAGCACTTGAGCAATGGAAAAAGCACCAAGCCGCTATAAAGCGTGTGATTAAACAAATTCCTCGACTTCTCTCAACACCGATGTGTCATTTCCCGCGACGCTTCTACGAGAACGAGTCTATTCGAGAAGTCGCAAAAATGTTACATCAATGTACGAACTATTTTGTCGTAACGTACGCAACGATAAATTACGTTGCGCGAAATTTTACGCTGGCAGCCTCCCAAAACTTTGCACAATGGTTCGTGTTTGAATGTCGGTGCCAAAGTTTACTCACAAAACACGTGACATCGCGCGCGGATCATTACATTACTATTTCGACGCGAAGGAAGCGCGATTCGCAAATTGAAAAATAAAGTCGGACCGGATGATGTATTCGGACAGTGTCAACTTAATTTTTTCAGGCCTCGTTTCTCTCATATGTTCGTTTCGGCCGCCAGACGACAAAGTGATTCGCGCCGCATTTTGTTGATACATCGCAAATATAATGTTACATTTTTTGCGCACGCAAGAGTGAAATTTGCGACTTGATCCAAACTGCAAACTTGCGGGCTATTTGCTCGGAAGTATGACGTAACTAAATTTCGAAATACAATGCACTTCGGTGAGACAAAGATGCGCAACTTGGTGCGACGCGATTGTCTTAACATATCTGTAGAATTGAATTCGCGCTTCGAACCGCGTGTGATAATTAAATGATGATATAATTTTGAAACGTTGATTATCGCGCTTTTAACCACTCATAATGGAGACTTTCGCGTTTGTACTTTAATGAAGAAATTTCTCAGTATTGTTCTCAGTAATATATTGTTAGCGCAAGGAAATGAATAAATATCTAATAACTTTTTTTACTTACATTTACTTGCAAACACATCTCGCATATATAATTTTGACTGCCGAAATTGTCAAAAACCGCTCCGAGTGCGCATATTCGTTGGCAGAGGAAAGCTTGCACTTTCGCAACCCAAGGGTGTTCCAAAATCCATCAAGGGACACCGTTGAGAGCGTATGATTACCAGTGCATTTTCGAATTGAACAGCCATGTGACGTCTTTCCGCTAAATCGGACATTTTACGTCTATTTTGCACCAGTGCAGGCAGTTCAGCCGAAACGAACAACTTTTTGCTTCCGCCACCGACGAGGTAATATCAATGAGGAAGCTGAGAGCGGCCAACACGGCGTTTTCGGCGACACCGATTTTTCGCACTGGGAATGGGCGCTATCTGCATCCATTTTGAGAGGGGAACTACGATGCTACATCCACTTTTAGGTCTCGACGGTAAAACCTGCATCTGGTGGCTGTCCGTGCTACATCCACTTTCAGGCGGTTTATGTCCGTGCTACAACCATAATAGCGTACTTGACAAGCACGGTCTCGCGCATTGTTATGCATTTGTAACATGAATTAACATGTTAACATGCACAAAAAAATAATAATTGAGATTGTATATGATTAATATCATGAAGATTATATACGATTTATATCGATATATAAATATATGATAATAAGATAATATTTTGTGTGTACCCAAAATTATTTTTCCAAAATATTTCAGCGTTACGTTAGTATTTATTTATACTCCGGCAGGCGTTTTTTAGCGCAGTTGTATCCGTGTGCATGTGTTGCATTGAAAGTGTGCGTGACGTACGTGTGCATATACGCACTCACACACACACACACACACACACACACACACACGTGTCATACGCAACAGATAGAATCTCAGGGTATATGCTTAAACATTTTCAATTGCGGTACGTTTCTATGTAAGAATGTAATCGGCACACACACACGCAGAGAAACTGCTCCCGTCTATCCGTCTGAAGTCCCGCCCTCCGCTCGGCTTGTTTTGACGAGCCAAGCGAAAGAGAGAGAGAGAGAGGGAATGTGTTCTCTCCATCTCGCTCTGATTCGCAACGTTGCCGAGATTGAGCTTCCCGACACACGGCCGAGATTGACGTTTCACTCTCGGCGTGAATCCAACGAGATGATCAATAGCAATCGATTTCGACTAAACTCGTTGTGTCAATAGATTTGCATGACAAATTAACATTGCACTTAAAGATACGGCGTAGCATTGAAGCGTTTGCAAGAAAGTCGCGATTGAAAATCGCGAGTGCTACATGAACCAAATGAAGGAGCGAGCTTCTCAAAGAGCGTGTGGCTTGGTGGAAGTACGCTGGACTCGAGGGGTTAAGATCGGTGGTTCGCATTTCCTTGGCGATCGGCGTTGTCCTTTTTCGCCAACTTTTTTTTTTTCGTTTTTCAGGAAAATGCACGTGTTGCATACAACATACATGTACCAAAATAAATTTTTTTTCATTTTTTAAGAAAATGCACGTATTGCATACAACACACGGGCATCGCAAGCATTGCACGTTTCGTCGATGACACTTCCCTTGAGACCCCGCCCTACGCTCGAAATGTTTCGACGAGCCAAGCAAAAGAGAGACAGAGAATGTGTTCGCTCCATCACCTCTGCGAAGATGGCCCTTCATTCTTCAAATTTGAAAAAAATTATCAGAGTTCTGAATGCCCCTCGCAGAGTTTTAGAGTTTCCCAATCCTTTATAGAAAGAGTTCCGTCATTTAAAGTAGAGAAAATACCATTTTAAAAATCGGAGGGCCAACTTCACGACGCTTCTCATTATCTAAAAAATGACAATTTTTTTAGAGTTCTACTCGATTACGGTATAAGTACTGACTTTTAACCTCCCCATAAATAATAATCCAGGACAGTGAAATCCGGTGATCGAGGTGGAAAATCACTTACGGCAAAATGTAGGGTTTTGAGAGGACTTTAATTTGGTGCCAGAACCAGGCCTGTATCTCTAACAGTTTAGGAGATATCGAAGGTTAAAGTTTCCCAGCCTTTCTCCGTCGATATCCAGCCTTCCTCCGTCGATATCTCCGCTTCTACTGGGAGTAGAGAGTCGTCCATGTAGTCGAAAATGTAGGGTTTTGAGAGGACTTTAATTTGGTGCCAGAACTAGGCCTGTATCTCTAACCGTTTAGGAGATATCGAAGGTTAAAATTTTCCAACCTTTCTCCGTTGATATCTCCGCTTCTACTGGGAGTAGAGAGTCGCCATTTACGGCAAAATGTAGGGTTTTGAGAGGACTTTAATTTGGTGCCAGAACCAGGCCTGTATCTCTAACCGTTTAAGAGATATCGAAGGTTAAAGTTTTCCAGCCTTTCTCCGTCGATATCCAGCCTTCCTCCGTCGATATCTCCGCTTCTACTGGGAGTAGAGAGTCGTCCATGTAGTCGAAAATGTAGGGTTTTGAGAGGATTTTATTTTGGTGCCAGACCGAGGCCTGTATCTCTAACCGTTTAGGAGATATCGAAGGTTAAAGTTTTCCAACCTTTCTCCGTTGATATCTCCGCTTCTACTGGGAGTAGAGAGTCGCCATTTACGGCAAAATGTAGGGTTTTGAGAGGACTTTAATTTGGTGCCAGAACCAGGCCTGTATCTCTAACCGTTTAAGAGATATCGAAGGTTAAAGTTTTCCAGCCTTTCTCCGTCGATATCCAGCCTTCCTCCGTCGATATCTCCGCTTCTACTGGGAGTAGAGAGTCGTCCATGTAGTCTAAAATATATGGTTTTGAGAGGACTTTAATTTGGTGCCAGAACCAGGCCTGTATCTCTAACCGTTTAGGAGATATCGAAGGTTTAAGTTTTCCAACCTTTCTCCGTTGATATCTCTGCTTCTACTAGAAGTTGAGAGTCGTAATTTATGGTGAATGTAGTGTTTTTGCAGGACTATATTTTGGCAAAAAAACAGGCCTGTATCTTTAGCTGTTCGGGAGATATCGAATGTTAAATTTTTCCAATTTGTACCGTTGGTATCTCCGCTTCTACTTGGAATTGAGAGTCTAGTTTTGTTGTGAGAAATGTTTTAATATAGGACTATATTATGGCAAATGCGTATTCCTGTATCTTGAGCCTTTAAGGAGATGTCGAATGTTACTTTCCACATACTTATCCGCAAGGATGATCGTAATACCGATTAAACAGTCAGGGGTGCAGTTGCGGAAGGAGAATCCGTGCGATATTTACGACCTCATCAGCAGCAGGCTCTGATTTCTTCCCATCTTTATCACCGACGAAAGAAGCGCCCATTTTAAAGAGCGATCATGGAATATGTGACTACTTTGTCACGTTTATGTCATCAACGTTCTCTTCAATCCCCCACCCTTGACTGTCTCAACACGCGATCAAGGGCGTGTTATGAAGTTTCAGTTTCCGAGATGAAACTAGTCGTGAGACGCTCGCAGCCGCGGTGGAATTTAACGCTCGCGTTCGCAAGAGCCTAACATTCTGGCAATGATACATCATGCGTCTCCAGACGTATCGTTTATTATACAGGAGACTTTGATACGGCAACATGTATTCGAAGATTTAATATTTAATACGTACTTTTATTTTCCCTGCTCTCCTCCCCCTGCTCTTTTTAGACCTAACAGATGGTCTGTTCTTTGTAGCTGCACTGCTGAACTGGTGCAATAAGCTAGAGTGAGAAAACCTATATTTGTCTCACTTTAACTTATTGCACCAGTTCAACAGTGCAGCTACAAAGAACAGACCAATAGTCTGGCATGGAGATGGCAACTGTGGTTGCAGTACGGACATAAATCGCCTGAAAGTGGATGTAGCACGGACTTCCACATGCAGATTTTACCACCGAGACCTGAAAGTGGATGTAACATCGTAGTTCCCCTCTCAAAATGGATGCAGATGGCGTCCTTTCCCAGTGCGGAAAGTCGGTGTCGCAGAAAATTCCATGCTGGACGCTCTCAGGTTTCTCTCTGGTAATACCAAATATTATAATTATGCTGACTATAACACGAACATTTACCCCATATCATACCATATTACCTCCGGGCCCTTCGTGGCCTCCTTTGCCAATATGAAAATTTACTCAGGGCTGTCAGTCTTTATATTACCTCGTCGGTGCTTCCGCTCAATCTGCGTCTCACAGGTTGGCACGACTGCCGCGATCGTTTTAGACCAACCGTCTTCAACGGTCTCGTATGAGCGTTGTATTAAACTAACCACTTGAGAAGTTTGTATTTTTATTATTTGTTTGCACAACAACCAGTGATACGCGACGACCGAGAACCGCATATGACAATCGGCGGTTGGAACGGCCAACAAGAAAGTATCAAGTTTGAAATGTAACAAATGGTTGACTGAATTGAGCGTGTATATATATATATATATATGTATAGTTAGCGAGTATTTTGCATACATACACATCCCCTCCATGCACGTTGGTCCTCGAAATTTGTCGGGATGAGCACATCACAGGATGAGAACGAGCGTAAGAAACGTTCGCTGGAAGCTGGCAGAGAAATGGCAAGTATACCCCTTCATTCACCTGTTGTTAAAGAAGTTAATACAGTTAAAGTTGTTAATATAGTAGTAGTCATTACTATTGTCCCTGTGCTGCTTACTACGATGTACAGCTTGATTTTTACTTTGTTGTATCTTTATACTTTGTGCACCGTGCTCTCCACTGCTGGTTTTATGCTTCATTGGAATCATATGAATTCTTTGATATTGAGAATATTCTACTTTGTATGTGGTTACAATTTTATACAATGACAGTCCCAATTATTATAGTTGGCACGATACAAAGCAAAGAGATATACCAAGGACAAAGCATACCAAGGACGAAGCTTAAGCATGGAGAACATTGAACCATCTGATGATGAGTCCTTGCACAATGAGAAATCCCTGTTGCTCAAAGGATCTGGAGTAAGAACAAACAAACCAATATCTCGCATAAGTTTTTGTTTAATAGCCAAGGAATATGTATATAAGTAATGTAGACTATACTGTTCTCTCATGTTTGTGGTTTTTCTTATCAGGCAAACGAAGGTACATCGTCACGAGACGTAACATATAGTAGCGTTAGCATAAGTGAAGGAGAAGCTGACGCTGATTTAGAAGGACTAGCAGGACGTGTTGCAGAATTAGAAGAATTATTGGAGGGAAAAGAAGTAATAGTTGGAGCTTTAAATGAAGAAATTGATCATTTACGAGCAGAAGCATCTTCTCCAAATTCATCGCAGAGTCAAAGCAGCAGTATACATGGAAGAGATATTATATCTTTATATCATGTAAAAGTATGTCATATTTGGTTTCAATTTCTTTTAAATACACCTTGAATTGTAAAATTAATTTAGGAAAATTTCTGATTCATCTTGTCTAGTTTTCTTTGTTTTACAACTATTATGTTGTAAATTTGAGCTGAAAGACACTGTTAAATATTTTTTATGTTTCTTATAAAACAGTTGCAAGAATTTGAAAGAGCAGTGAATCAACGTGACAATTTAATAGAACATTTAACATCGTCTCTGGAGCAGGCATTATCTGCCAGAGATGCTGTCACAGCACAACTTAATGCTTTGAATTCCATGCAGTTGAACAATTCCATGGTAGATAATGTGAATTTGCAACAGAAGGTAACTAGCGCATTTGATATTTCTCAGTTTGCAGTTATTATACAATCATAACCCTATTATGAACAATGTTTTGGACATTTTTTCAGATTGACGTTTTAGAAAAAACAATGAACGATCAAGAAGCATTAATTCGTCGTCTGAACGCGCAACTGACAGATATTCATGAGCATGTTCAGACGTTGGAAATGGAAAAAGAAACACGAAACGCAGAAATTAACGATTATAAGGCGCAAATAAATAATTTAAACGAGCAAATCCGTGCTGGTGCTGCGGAGAAGAATCTAAATATCGACGAAACTTTGGAACAACAGAAACAGTACGAAGCACGCGTAGATAAGATTAAGCAAGATATGCAGCACATTTTAAATAAGTTTACTGCCGTAACGAACGCTAATGCAATACGTCATCAGCAAGAACTAAAGGTGCACTTTTTGACAGAACAATATTCTTTTACACAAATTAATTAAATTAAATTAAATTAAATTTTATATGGAAACTCACATTTAGAATTTTAAACATCCTCAAAGGTTTTCAGATGAGCAATTCATCAGTTCTCACTTCGAGGAACTAGTTTATTATTAACGAGCTTAAAATTAAGAAGAAAAGATTGTGGCAGAATTTTTCTTATTCAAATCATAATCAAATATCATAATTTCAGGATCTAGCTAGCAAGAATGAGGCTGAGATTGCGAATATTAAAGTCCAACATGAGGAATCTATAAAGATGCTAAAGGATGAAAATAAAATGTTAGCCGATCGTTTAAACAAAGAACTACCGGATCTGGAGAGCAGACACGCCAAGGAACTGTCTGTTTTCCAAACGCAATTAGCTTACTATAAGAAAACCGTCGAAGCATTGAAGCTCGAGCTGGTTAATCACGCAGAGTCGCAAAAGGTCGCTCAGTCAGAAGCGAACATGTACAAATCTAAGCTCGAGGAGTTCAAATTCGAGGCGGAGAACGAACATCGTCGGAAGAATTTACACTTCCAGAAGGAGAAGCAGCTGCTGAGCGAGCAAATCAAGCTGCACAAAATCCAGCTGGAGGAGATCACGTCGAAGCACATCGCGACGATGAGCATCCTGGAATCGAAGGAGAGCATCGAGCGATCGCTAGAACAAGCTCTGACGAACGCAGCGACGTTGAAGCAGGAGAACGATGCGCTGAAATTCAAGCTGGACGACTTGTCGTGTAGATATTCCATGGCACAGTCGGCGGTTGAGAACAGTCAGGTTCCTGACAGGACCCTGAGCTGTCGAGTGTACGACCTGGAGAGATCCCTGTCACGGTTCGACGCTACGAGCGTCAGCACGAATAGCGAGCTGTGCGAAACCATGTACAAGACTTTCGACGAGGAAGCCATTCAGCATCAGCTGATACGGCGAAATCTCGAGGAGAAGACAGAGATCGAAAGACTGTTGACCGAGAAGATTCGCACGCTCGAGGAGAATCTGCTCAGAGCAAACAACGAGCTGGAACAAGCCGACTTCGCGAAGAAGTCCTACGAGAAGCAGCTGAAGGACACGAGAAATATGAGTGACAAGCTACAGCAAGAGGTCGATTTGTTGAAAGAGTCCAGTCGTGTTGTGCGTCGTGACTCCTCGAGTGTCGAATGTTCGGAGGGCGCAGCGGTGAGTGCTGAGGGCGATTTGACGCGGCGGCAGGAGGATCAGCAGAGGGAAATCGAAAGTCTGAAGCTGCTGCTGGAGCAGAGAGAGACGGAGAATGCGAGCTGCAAGAAAAATTTGGCCGAGATGATGGAAAAGACGAAGAAGCTGGAAGCGCAGTGCGAGCAGCTGAAAGATGGCTTGGCTAATGCGTGGGCACAATGTGCGGAGTTTGAGGAGAAGTTAAACCAGACGCTGAACATGAACGATAGCAGCAAAGTGAACGCCTCCATGAACAGCACGACTTCTTCGTCCAGGCAGCTTGGCGCGAACGAGAGCTTCGACAACAACAGTCAAAGCGCAGCGGATCAGAAGAAGATCTCGGAGCTGGATAATATCGATAGGAATACGTTAACGGACAACAGGCACCTGAAAAATGACCATCAGAATTTGTACAAAGAACTGCAGCAAATTCTGGAGGGCGAGTCCAACTTGGACGAGGTGAAGTTGAAATTAAGTCGTTATTACGCCGTGTGCGAGAGAATAATCGAAGAGAAGGCGCATTTCCTGTCGGAGAACATTTCGGGGAAGCCGCAAGATGGCGAGGATCCTCTGCGGAAGTCTTTGGATAACCTGTGCATGGAGAAGAAACTGTTGAGCCAAGAGATCGAGGACGCGATGAATCGATGTAAGGAGGAACTGGAAGCTATCAAGGCTGACTCCGCCAAGGAGATCAACAGATTGCGCCTATTGCTGCAGAATCTCAAGGTAGGTCGTCCCCAGTCCCCATCTTGAACGATTGTTTCAAGACAAGAAATATCGGGTGAATTGTTTTCCACGAGTATTATTTAGGCGAATAATATTTTTGCAAACTTGTCACTCATGTATTTCTTGTCTCTGAAGGACGGTAGCGCAAGTATGAGCGACTTGAGAACCGAGTTGGAAGCACGTCATGCCAAGGAGATGGAAGAGCTGAGGACATATTTCGAGCGGAAATGCCTGCAGATGGAAAAGCAGTACTCGGAGGAAGTATTCAGCCAGCAGTCCAAACGGATCTCCGACAGCGAAACCGAAGAACTGACCGATGACTTGTACTTTGGCGGTGCCGGAGATTGCCTGAACGTGTCTAATTCTCGAGCGGTGACTCCTAGTGCCATCGAGGAGTCCCTGAGAATCCCTCTCTTGGACGCCGAGAACGAAACGCGAATCGAGACGGAATACGACAGCGATGTAAGAGCCCTGCGACATGAATTGGAGCACAAAGTTAACGAGATTCAAAGTATCAGGAGTGCCTATGAGAAAGCGATCGAGGAGCAGAAAGAATTGTTCGAGTCTCAAATTCGCGATACTGAGGCGAAGCTTAAACGCTCGTCGACTGTTCCCGTCGCGCACCAGGTGAGGAAAATCTTTTTATTCTGAGTTTTGTTAATAATAAACTGATTTCAGTTTTCTGTTTTCACTGCAACAACTTTTATCCTTTTCGATGCGTGCTATTCGAACATTGCTTGCTTGCAATTACAATATCGCCACTATGAAGAAGGTTTCCATTCAGAACGCAAACTTATCTCTATCAATATAATGTCTATTAATAAAATCTTTAGAGTCATGAAGAATTAAGAGTTGTGTCAGACTGCCTCCACTCATTTGTGTCGATTGTATTTCCTACTTAAGAATTATGAAAATCTGTTGAACTATTCATGAATATGAAATCCTAGTGAGACGTAGATGCACGGTATGATTGGTGTGAGCTAATTGTCTTTAATACATTTCTCTTCCTAGTGTGAACACGCGCGATCTCCCCAGAGAGTGAGGTATTTAAAACAAGCTACCTGAATAATTTTGAAAATATGTAAGATAGAAAAAAATGTCAAGTACAGAAGTTGTAGGATTTTAAGTGACGCATCACATAAAACCCTACACCTTCTGTATTTAACTTCTTTTGCATCTTGCATGTTTTCAGAATTGTTCAGGTGAGCTGTTTTTTTAGATGCTTCACTCTGTATATGTTTTTGCGAAAAGGAAAATTATATGTTTTGCCTTGATACTTTACACGTTGATGTGTGTAAGTTAATTTGTGACTAACATACCGCCGTGTGACCTCATGTTTGCATGCAGTATTGTCAGACAGAATGGGAAGCATTGGAGAATGGGGAATTATCAAATTTGCGTGCTGCGTATAATCATCAGTTGCAAGAACAGATCGAGCTAGCTAGGCAGGATATTGTCAACGGTCTGCTAGAACAGTTTGAGGTAGATGTGAATCATTTGTAAGATTTTGCTTATTAAGGATTAAGCATAGATGAAATAACAATAGCGATGCGAACTGTAGTAACAGAATCGTCATAATTTCCGGCTTGTCACTTGTTTCTGTTCTCATAAAGATTTTAATCAGATGTCTCTTTTCGTTCTCGTTTGATGTTATTTGTAGTCTTCGTAGAGACTCGTTGCGAGCTGTTAGGGGATATTTGTTGAAAAGTTGTTGTTACGATTGCGCAGACTTTGTTATCGGTGGAGGAAGACAAAGAGGATGATTGGCCAGCTGAATTGTTAGAACTGAGAAACAAATTCACTCGTAATGCCAAGCAAGAAATCCAAGAGCTGAAGAAAACTTACAGTGTGGAGCTGGCGCGACTGAAGAATGAACACGATTTCGTCGTAGCGAGAATGCTTGAACAACATCAGAAGGAAATTAGTTTTCTTAAAAGGAACACACAGAACGCAGATAAGATGCAAGAGACTGTTTGTGTCGGATCTTCAGAAAGTAGTATCATAGCAGAAAGGTGATCAACGACCGGCCAAATTAGCTATAATTAAGATTTAGTTATTGTAGAATAGAAAATGTTTAATCTAGTTTAATCAGTTGACTCTACACATAATAACTTATTCTTTTTTAATGATGAACACTAATATTTAATTTTTCGCCAGGGATAAACTACAGAAGACGTGTGCAACTCTGCAAAACTTAATTGGGGAATTGGTCAAGTACTTCGCCGTCTGTGAAGAGGAAGTTAACAACACTCTGATCAACGAGGTTCTGAAGAGACAATTATCAGAGTCCGTCTTTGCTAGCGAGGAAAACTTGAGCAAAGACAGCAGCATCCCTGCATCCGAGGCTCAATGCAAGGATCCCCCCCATCAACCGATTAAAAGAGTCCATTTTGCACCGCAGTTCAGCAGAATAACTTCTATCGTTAATAGCGATAACAAGACGCTGCAGAGCTTGATCGACGAAGATGTGGACGAGAAACTGAGGAAAGAACTGAAGGCTTGTCTAAGACGCTTAAAGTCGGATAGTACAGAAATCCTTAATTCTCCACTACCATCTGGCAAAAACAGTAATGACGCGTCATCCCTAAAGGAGACCGACCTCACGAGCAAAATTAACGAAGAGCTTTCCTTGAAACTGAACCACGCTGAAACCTTGATAATGGGCTATCAGGAAGAAACAGAACAACTAAAAGTGCACATTCTCGAACTGCAGCGAAAGTTGATTAGCGCAGAGAACAAGAAGGAAGTCATTACGGAAGGTTACGGTGAAAGTGATCTTTCCAGAGGCGATATCGGACTGCAAGACCTTTCGCAGTTGCAAGAAAAAGGTATACTCTTACGTCCCTCGCTTCGCATCTCGGTTCCAGGACTTGCATTTTGTATAGTCTTTAATAATTTATATATATTTTTATACTACTCGCAGCTAGACACGTGTTATCGAACGGCGGCGGCGACACGTCCTATTTGCTGCAACTAATAGAAGAGCTGTGCAGGCAAAACGATAAACTGCTGGATGACGCTAAAAAGGACAAGGAGGACTTGCAGCAGCAGGTAAAATCCTTTATTATTTTTGCTCGAGATGCACCGTTGCATGATTTCTGATTACTCGATATTGGTATGCTAGTACTAGTATGATGAATATTGAGGACAGATTGTATGTTGAAAACGGTTTGTCTAGGTAGTCCATCAGATTCGTATACTTCTGTGTTTCTATGAGCATCGCGTTTATATTATTCACAGGATTAACGCCGATATCTATTTATTTAATTATGTGGCACATGAATGTCTCGTAACTGTGAAAAAGTTTGTTATTTTTTCTTTCCGTTATCTCAATGTTGTTTCTTTCTTCATGTTGTAAGTGCAAGTAGCCTCAAGATTATAAGGAATCGTGCTTTATTACGTATCTACGTTGTCACATGCAGAGTGTCTTAAGAAAGCTGAATAATTCGAATATCTTTGATCTAGGAGCCTATACATGTTACATCCATATATGATACTGTAGATTTGTAAATCCCTACATCCTTAGAATTTCTTCAAACTTTTGTTTGCCAGATTATCCCCTCTGTGATCCCTAGAGACTCGAAGAAACCGACTTTAATAGTATAAATGGATTCTTAACATCTTAACGATTTACACTTGGAAGATAATCATTTTTTTGCGCATCCGATATTCACTTTTCTTCTTACACCCTGTATAAGAAAATGTTTGACACTCCACGGTAATTTCTAAAACTACCAGAGATATACAAAGTCAGTAGAGTAGAAAGAAAAAAATATTGTGCGCACTTGGCACATATGGCAATCAAAATCGATATAGATATACCGTCCGGCAATAATAAGCGATAGCGAAAGCAATCGACCAATAAGTAAATGAAAAAGATATTGTCCAAATCAAAAGTGCAGAGCTTTGCGATGCAGGTTTTAAGAGATTGATTGGCGTTCTGTTATCTTGCCAGCAGGTGCCTTTAGAACCTACTCCTACCCCATACATTCACAGGGTTTGCTGCGAAAAGGTAAATCATAGAATTACTAATATTATCATAAACGCTGTGCGTAAGTTACTTCCAAATCGGCTGTAATCAATTAATATACGTAGGATTTTTCTCTATCCACGAAATTTCGTTAGATAAATACCGGAATTTCTGCCACCTCTAACGCGTTGACAGTGTTAATTACACGTACGTTTACCGCAGTGCGGTTGAATGGTTTATTATTATTACCATTATTATTTGTTGCATGACGTTGCAATATTTAATAGCTGCTTCGCATGTCATGTTGTGAATGTGCCTTAGAGTGTGCGAAATGTAAAGATATTTTTTTTTATTGCTGAATTATATCTTTGAAGAATTTGATCCCCAGATTTTTTTATAAGTTTCGGTAGCTCTCCCCTATAATTAGCTTAAAAAAAAAATCACCCAAAGCAGAGACATGTATGATAGAAATTCGTTATGCTATTCGTATAACTTACAGTATTCGTTATACTACATGGAATTCATTCATTGTTTATCTAACAGAGTTTGTATATGGACATATAACTTATCCTTGTAACGCGTAAAACGAATAGCTTAAATAATACGATAATAAAAGTTAGAAAGAGGGAAAGAGAGAGAGTTCCTCGTTTGATTTTAGCAATCACTTTTGCTGTTCATGCACATTCAGTATGACGTGACAATTATTTCTAACTGAGATTACGTTTGTTTAGATTGACGCAGCGGATAAGCAGTTGCGGGCGACGCGTCGATTTCTGGATGAACAAGCGAGCGAACGCGAGATGGAACGCGACGAAGCATCGAAGCAAATTCGCTTCTTGCAAGAACAGCTGAAGGAGCGCGAGCGCGAGAAGGAGAGAGACATGCGTATCAGTTCCGAGGTGAAATTCTTACTGGAGATTGTTTCCTTTTCAATGTGAAGAATTTCTTGTTTTATATATGACGCTTTTCGTAATCACCCGCTGGTTAGCTTCAGGGAACATTGTTTCTCAACTCCTTGACTGGCGTAAATGCAGTACTGCGTTTCTTGATACTTCCGATAGTCAAGATTCTCATGACATCGCTTGACTCTTGAAAATTTATTTTTTGCCAATTTAAGCACTTTGACGAAATTTAATTTGCCAATCAAGAGGTTAATTAATCCTCAATTAGCACCACGTGTTGAAGAGATATGTAAATTTATATCCAAATTGTCAGCATCTACAAGGTTACAACGCTTTGAAGATGTCGGTTTTTCAGAAATTCTACGTAAAATGATTTGATCGCAAGTTGATTAAGGATTAATTAATTTCAAACCCTGAATTTCTGAATACACTTCTGCAGTTACTGCACTAACCAGGAAATTTCATCTGGCATATAATGACTGCCACTTTTAAACCTCAACTATAGGTTTTGGTGGTTCACTTTTCATTTAACACTTAACATAGAATTAAGAATAACTGCTGGAGAAGGGTACATGCTATTTGTCCATGAAGACGAGTCACGAAAATTTAGAAGACAACATTTCGATGATTTTACTTTCGGCGATACCGTTTCGACTCGTTTGCAATACGTTCTTTCAGTTACGACAGGACACTGGCAATTTTGTACTTCTTCCGCTGTGTGTAGAACTTTGCAGTTTGTCGGACATGCACCTCGACCAGTAGCCTTTCAGTTTTCAGTTAGTTACTTTGACAGCAGCGTATTGTGTAATTTAAGTTGAGAACTAAAAACGGAAAGGCTTATTATATCTCGGAAATTTGTATTGCCGCCGATTAGTGTCACGCATCACTACTAATTGTATTAACACAAATTTTTCTGCACTCTGGTTTGGGTTTTATGTTTGTCGCACAAAGCAGTCTGAGCTATCATCTGAAACGTCTTCAGACGCCGCTGAGCTTCAAACAATTGACGTCAATGCAACCGTGAGTGATATTGTATTTAATTTGATCTTTTCGATCTTCTTAACGGTTCCTTTCATTCGCATACAGTGGGTAAGAAAAGTACCCGTATGTTACCTAGCAAATTATTTGGCAATTATTTACTATAAACCCGAACAAACGAAGAAAAATTAAATACACATCTACGTTCAGACTACTTGCTATTGACGGAATTATACAAGTATTTGAAAAAAAAAAAAAAAAAGAATCCGAGACTTTAGCGACGTATGGTGCTTCTTCACTGAGAGTGAAATATCGGGTGCTCTTGGTGAATGTGCCATATGACTTCAAGATCTGGAATCTTTGTTTAACAACTTCTTCGTGTTTCATTTATTTTGCTGGACAAACATTCTTTTGAGTTTACTTTTATTTAGTTGTGTAGTTCTCTTTTGTTTTTATTTTTTACCCACTGTATAAGTCGCCAGATAATTAATTGTAACCGAATATAATATTTATCATGTTTCTGCGCTTTACGTGTTGGGTTATGCTTGATTGGAGTTGTAGGTGACATTTTGGGAAGAAAATGATACTGGTAATTTGCATATCTAAATATGCTGCGACTTGTGATTTAGGTGGAAGCTCTCGAATCTCAGATGAGAGAAATGTCGTCGTTGATGTCGGACACGGAAGCCAAGAGGACGGAGAAAGAAAGCGAGCTGAAAGCTGCGGTGGACAAAATCTGGGTCTTGCGCGAGATCATTACCGATCTGGAGCAACAGCTGCAGATCAAGATCGAGAGGGAAGAGTCCTTGCAGGTGCAAATCGGTCAATTGGAGACTGTAATCACAGCGCAGACGAAGAACCAACAAGAGCTGGTTCAAGAATTGGATGCTATCAAATCTGGCAGCGAGAGCAGGCAACTGAATGAGCAAATCAGCTATCTGGAGGTAAAAATGCTCGGACAGATGCATGTCAGCGGTGCTTGCCTAGATAGATGACTTTGATGTCATTTAGATGAAGATGAGATAGATGTCCGCAAATTCAACTTTGTTAATATATTATATTTATTTCGTTCATCTGGATGATCATTTAGATAATTTTATCTAAAAACTGGCAAATGTTGTATGTGAATGAGCGACAAGATACTTGCGGAATGACTACACCTTGGTATTCTGCTTCTCGCGCTTTAGGAAGAATTGCAGAAACACAAGCTGAGTTCGGAACACTTCAACGTCAACTCGTCCGTCCTGAAGCAGATGAAAACAGAACTTCACGAGATGCAGAATCAATTAGACAAAAGAATTCGAGAATTGGAATCGGCGCACATGTGCGGTTCAAATTTGAGCCTGAGCCAACCGAGCGAGGACGTTTCCATTAGGGAGCAAATCGATGCGACGAGATGTCTAACTCCGGACGACCCGACCTCACCACCAATGCTGCCCTTGGACCAAGTGCTCAAGTTAAAAGATAAGATGCTGAAGCATGCGCGAGCGGAGGATGTGGCCTTCAAGAGGATCAAGGATCTGGAGATGCAATTAACAACGATAAAAAATCAAAACGAGGTTCGCTCTTTTCAATATTTAAAATTAGAAGAGGAAGAGAGAGAGAGAGAGAGAGAGAGAGAGAGAGAGAAAGACATATAAATATATTCTAAAAGATTTATCTGCCTATACACACATGAAAGCAACAGTTGTAAAAAATGAGAAAAATCGAAGATAGGATTAGATTCTTATCCTCCTTGTTGATTTTACTTCATCTATTGTAGGAATTAATAGCGGAACAAGAGATCTTGCATCAAACTGCATCCGAGCAATTGTTCCAAATCGAAACGATGCGCGGTCGCTTGGAGCAGCACAAGCAAAGTGCTCCATTCGTGCAGAAACAAGCGACATCGCGTTTGGAGTTACAGCTACATGAAGCCACAACAAAGTATCATTCCTTGGAGCAGATAATTACTGACAGAGAGCTAGAGGTAATACTTGGCTCGATTATTGCAACTTTAATCACCGATATAACTTAATATACAATTTCTCACCATTCCACTATTTAACTTCAGTTTAATCGTCGATTCATCAATTTACCACTTCTAGGTGAAGGAGCTAAGGACTCAGCTCGACAGGGCCAATCAGTTACTGGCGGAGAAAGAAATTGAGGTGGAAAACTTCGTGCAGTCGGAACATGGCGCCCTGCAGAAACTCAAAGATCAGCTGAAACTCGTGCAGGAGGAGAAGAAAATGCTGCAGGTACGTGCCTTTTCATTCTCCCAAATATTTGAGTGCTCAAAGCGACAGATCAATAAGGTGCCGATTTACAGGTACAGCTCGGTACGCAGCAAGAGCATGCCCAATTGCCGCCACTGATCGATGCCATATTAGCTGACAAGAATGAGGAGATTGATCATCTCAAGGAACAATTGTCTAAGAAGGAGAAGCAACTGGAGGCATATTCGTCGTTTGCGTTGAGCGACGTGCAGTTGAGGGAATTGACGAAACAGGCGGTGGAGCCCAAGAACAGCGCGCGTACACTGAGCGATATCATCTCCATTCACTCGGAATGCGCGGAACTGCCCGAGGCCATTCGGGAGCCCAACGCGACTCAAGTGTCGCACAACATGTCCAGCTTCAAAATCGCCGGGTCCACGTTGTCGAAGAATACGTTGAAGTAAAGTATCAAACAGTTGAAAACAATCGAAAACATAACAATCCCCGTTCAATTATGATATCGAAGTTGCAGACTTTTTAATTAGAAATTAAGAAAGTAGTGGAAACTCGACGACTTTGCGTGGGCTGTTTTAATGTTAATTAATAGCGATAGGTAGCGTGTTCAGCTTCAGTTAATTAAATAGATTTGAACAAATAACCGTGCGATGCAACGCAGGAGGAAAAATGACCAAACTATATTGCTATGTCACAGTCCGAACAACACCAGCAGCTTGAATACCTTGGAGGCGCCTTTACTTGACGGGGATAAAATGGACACGCAGGTCCCGCCGTTGGATTTGGATCCTCATACCCATACACAAAGCCCCAGCAATTTTGTGCACAATTCAGAGCCGGAGCTGCACCACATCATGGATGAGTCAAAATTATCGTCCCCCAAGAATAACGACGACAGCGATGGTATGCTGTTACTCTTGCGCATAAGTTTATACATTGTTAAATAGTCGTGGCAGGTTTAGCACGTGTCAACGATCTGAAAAATACTTGAATATCTGTGAATGAAAGATAGTCTGATTATTGCGTTTGTTTTTCTTCAAGGAAAGTGTCTCCCTTTCGAGGAAAGAATCAACAATTCGAAAGTACTTAACTGTGTTGATGAAAAATAATTTAATTCTTCGACCTCTACTGTGTATCACTAAAATATCAAATAGTGATAAATAGTTGTTGTTACAGATTCCCAACGAGCCGAATTACTCAACGAAAAATTGAGGGAGATCGAACACTTGTCGAGTCAGCTGCAAATCGTGCAACAGGAATTGGAACTAAAGTCCGATCTTTTGATCAAGTATGAAACAGAGTTGACGCTCTTGCACAAGCAATATCAGGATTTGCACGACGAGTACAAGGAGACGGTGGAGAACTTGATGCGAGATAAGAATTTCTACAAGGGCCAGTATGAGCTGACTCAGGCATCAGAGAATAAGATCAAAAAGGACTTGGAGGAGGTGGAGAATATCTTGAAGCTGAAAATAGATGAGCTGGAGGATCATAAGGGTAGGATGCAGGTTAACGAGAGGATTCTCACGGAACTGAACGCGGAAAATATACAGTTGAAGAAAGAAATAGAGACCAGGGACAAAGACCAGTCGAGGAGAAACAGCTTGTTGATGCAAGAGAAAGCGCAGGAGCTGCAAAGGTTCAAGGAACTCATTCTGGAGAAAGATATAACGCTGGAGACTCTCCAGACGCGCAACATCGAGATTGAAAACGAGAACAAGCAGTTGTACGACTTCAAGACGAAGGTCCATGTGCGCGAGCAGGAGATCGCAAAGTTGCAGGACGAGGTCCTGCGATTGACGGATGGTCTGAACAATCGGGACCAAGTGATACGTAAGCTGGAGGAGATGGCGAGACGAACGAGCGACAGCCAGTCGGGCGCATCGTCGCCATTATCTCACAGTAACAAGGACCAAGAGATCCATCACTTGCAGGAATTCTTAAAGGAGAAGGACAAGGTGATCAGGCAGATGAGCGACGACAGCAAGAGCTTGCACCGAGCGTTGGAGACGATCCAGAACAAAATGAAAGAGTCGGGTAACGTGGTGGAATTGAGGAAGAAGCTAAAGGACGAACGTAAATCGAATGCTGAGCTGAAGGACACGATACAGCGACTGCAGAAGGAACTGGAGGACCTGAGGGATGCGTTCGCGCAGCGTTCGCAGGACGACAGCGACATTGAGGATATGGTCCAGCGAGAATTGAACCTCTCCGCGCATTTGGACAAGCAACTCATGCAGGTCATCAAGGACGATGCCGAAGAAGTAGAAGGAACACAAGAAGAGCATCAGCACAAGTTAAGCCAGATGCACAAGGACAACGAGGCGCTGAGGAGGCTGAAGGACGACTTGGAAGTCGAGCGGAATATAATGCAGCATCAGATTACCGAGTACGAGGATCGCATTCTGGAGTTGAAGACGAGTCTGGTGGAGGAGACGAAGAAGGTGGCGAAGCTGAACAAGGACTTGACAATAGAGAGAAACACCGTGCAGTTCCTGAGGAAGCAAATCGAAGAACATCGCCGAGTGACGGAGGCGGGGCGCGTTCAGGACACCGAGCTGATCGAGTTCCTGCAGAATAAGCTGAAGACCTCCCTGGAGAACGAGGAGAAGCTTCGCAATGATCTAGCATCGATGAATCAACAGCAAATCAGTCTGGACTTGCAATTGACGTCTATGAGGAAGCTGATAGAATTGGGCAACGCCAACAAGGCTTCGCCGAAGTTCGCCGTAATCTGCCAGAATGAGCTGCAAAGGTACGCGCCGATTCGTTTGATTTATTTCATTTCTCTTATCACTCTTACGTTGCGCTTATATTTTGTTCGTGATCCCTCCCCCCTCTCGCCCGTGTCATTTTGGTTCACACGTCTTAATTTCCGTTTTCCGTTTTTGCATTCAAGTGCTGCAAACGTAGATCCCGAGAAGAATCGCGATAACAACGCGGAGCTGCGGAAGAACATAAAGAGGCTGGAAGTTGAGATGAGCCGGTACGAGAAACGGCTGGAGATCGCGACGGAAGAGCGGGAGAGACTGATCAGCAGCTTGGCGTTGACGAAAGGAAAGAAGGAGATTGTGGAGGCGAACCTGCAGAGGATCGCAGAGGAGCTGAAGGCGCGTGTGGAGGAGTGCGATTACCTGCAGGAGCAACGCGACATCGAGATGGGCGAGATCAAAGGGTTGCGCAGAGAAATCAACATCGCCAAGGAGGCCAGGATGGACCAGGAGGCTGACATCAAGTTAGCTAAACAGGAGCTGAGGGAGAGCGCGGAACGGGAGCTGAAGCTCACGCGCACCGTGGAGTCGTTGAAGGAACGAGAAGCGGAGCTCAACACGAAACTGGCGTTCTCAAAGGAGAGGGAGAGGAAGCTGGAGGAATTGGTGGAAGATCTCCAGACAAACATAAATGCCGCCGCCGTCGAAAGGGAGGTCGACGTCAGAGATCTCAAGAGCAAACTGTCGGACGCGAAGGACATTCCCGCGAGCCTCGTGCAGCAAGTGAAGGAGCTGAACGGGAAGGTCGAGAAATACGCCGCCGAGAGGGATAATCTCCAAGACAAGCTCGGCAGGATGAGGGAGGACAAGGAGTCGCTGACGCAGCGTGTAAAGATGCTCGAAGAGCAAATCAAGAAATTGAATCAGCAGCTGGTTCCTATCGAGAGGGTATGAGACGCGTTCTTTTGTCATGATACAAGGTAGACACGTAGCGCGTCCGAGTATTATCATATTTTCTTTTCACAGTTGCAGAATTTCTACGGCAAGTATCTACGAGTGGAGAGCAGGCGGAGGGCATTGGCCTTTCAGAAGAGGTACTTGCTTTGTATATTGGGCAGTTATCAGTATTGCGCGGAGAACACGTTGTATGTTCTCGCGCAGTTGACTCGGGATCAACGCTCGTACACGCGGTTGCCGCACGGAAAGGTGCGCCTCAAGATCATTGTGTTGGTGGTAATTAGCACACTGAGGATGAAGTGGCTGATCCAACGGTGGCGAACGGGCAAGCGCGTGGGCGCTAATGTTCTCATGGGTTATATCGATCAGTTGATCGATTTACCGCCCACGATGAAGTCAACATCCAATCATTCTCCACCCGTGAGGGAAAGAGCGAGGGCGCAGTAAGTAAAACGATTGCCGACTTAATTGCATCTTCACGCACAAGCGCCACGATATACGAATATTCATAAAATGTTTCTCATATCTCTTGCTTGCTTGGCACAATTCAAGGTGATTATACGTAATTAAGGAACATCTTGCCGTGTGATTATGTTGTCAAGGTCATGATTCAAAATGTTCTTATCGACGTTGTTTGTTAAAAGGTTATTAGCAAAAATATGTATGAATAAGTGTTGGATTCTTCAAGCGGAATCAAGTATGAAATTTAGATTGTTTCTGTGCTATATGTTACCTTCAAGGTGACTAGTGGCAGACATGTAAAGATCAAGGTAACGATAGTGTTCCTTAGTATGCATAATTACCACGTTTAACATGCTTTCTACGTACTTCGCACCTATGTGACAAACCAGTCCCTCACGGCAGATCAATGTGACATAAGTGTGAACATTCTTTTTCAATGTCCATTTCACATAAATAGCTGAGGTATTACAAAATTACACTAGAAATATGCCGTCTGTGAGGAGTTCCTCGAATGAACGTGACAGCGAACGTGTTAGAAAGTTCTTCATTCTATAAAGTGTTCATTCAGAAGGTGCCCACTTCAATATATTTTAAAATATACGTTCCACGAAAAGATGTTCCGTATAAAAGTTGCGGAGTTTTAAGGGAGATATACGAGGTGTGTGAGAAAAGTAATGAGACTGATTTTTTATCTACCAAAGTTTTTATTTTTTTCAAATAACAATATTGTCCCCTTCAAAGTAGTTCCCTTCGGCAGCTATACACCGGCGGAGTCGTAGTTCCCAGTCTTGGTAGCAGCGTTGAAAGGCTTCAACTGGTAGGGCCTTTAACATGTCGGTCACATTCTTTTGAATGTTCTCCAGAGTCCCAAAATGACGTCCTTTTAAGACATTTTTCAATTTCGGGAAAAGAAAAAAGTCACAAGGACTCAGATCAGGTGAATAGGGGAGCTGTGGAACAAGAGGAATGCCTTTTGAGGTCAAAAATTCCGTGATGGAAGTGGCCGTGTGACATGGGACGTTGTCATGATGCAGCATCCACTTGTCTGCAATGTCCGGTCTCACTCGATTCACCCTTTTCCTGAGCCTTTTGAGGACATCTTTGTAAAACTTGGTTGACAGTTTGTCCTGGAGGAACAAATTCTTTATGCACGATACCCCTACTGTCAAAAAAGCAAATCAGCATTGTTTTGATCTTTGATTTGCTCATTCGAGCTTTTTTCGGTCGAGGAGATGTCTCAGTGTGCCACTCCTCACTTTGCCGCTTTGTCTCAGGATCGTACTAAAAAATCCAGGATTCATCACCTGTGATCACACGACTGAACCATTCGTGGTCATTGGCAATCCTCTTAAGAAGATCAACGCACACGTTTCTTCGATTATTCTTCTGCTCAGTTGTGAGGTTTTTCGGCACCATTTTGGCACAAACCTTTCGCATGTGCAAATCTTCGGTCAAAATTTGATGTACGGTGAAAGTTTAAGTTTAACAGGTCACCCATCATCCTTATTGTTAAACGTCGGTCTGATCTCGCAAGAGTACGCACACGTTCGACGTTTTCGTCGGTTTTTGAAGTTGAAGGTCTCCCTGAGCGAGGTTCATCTTCAACGTGTTCTCGGCCTTCCAAAAATGATTTGTGCCAGCGAAAAACTTGTGCTCTTGATAAGGAATGTTCCCCATAGGCCTGTTTCAACTTTTCAAAAGTCACACTCGCGGATTCCCCAAGTTTAACACAACACTTGATGGCATAACGTTGCTCTAAATTCCGCTGTTCCATTTTCGTAACGCACAACAAAAACACAACTTCACTGATGGCGCTCTCAAAAATCACGTGACGGCTGTACGGAGCTGAAACTCGGACTGAGCATCTGGAAGGGATGAACACACCGGTCTACACAAGTAGAACAACACAGCGTTGCCAGATCGCTCGCAGTGTTGTCAGTCTCATTACTTTTCTCACACACCTCGTATGATGGTGACTTTGAAAACCCATAACTTTTAAGGTCACATTATATATTCCCCTCAAAATTCTGCAACTTTTTTTATATATTCAGTATTTTCTCATACAACATATATTTTAAAAAGTATTCAGTTGGAAGCTCTTGAAGTGAACAACTTATATATATATATATATATATAAATCTCGTTATTAAATATCACATACATTCACACTATAATTTGCGTGTAAATTGCATGTTTTAGCGGAGGTAGCGGAGGTAGCGAACTAAGTGGCTTTACACTTGAACAGTATTACCAACCAATAAGAAACTTCCAACAGGCGGTCGAATCAGCCATGGCGGAATCTGCAACTAGTCATATTATCTCAGAATAACATTATATACATATATTTTTAGTACATCTAGAAGTTGACCTGTACAGTGTTAGCGTTACAAATGTTATGTAATTGTTTAAGCGGTGCATTGTAGAGGTCGTGTTTTTTAAATTGGCAGTTTTGCAGTCTTCAAATTTTTACATCGTCGAATCAGCGTACCAATTTTCGGATTTGCGTATTTTGAAGAAATTAGTACATGGGAAATGCTAATTTGAGGATAGGAGACAGGTTTCGTAGGAATTATGTGTCATTACGATTTTTAAGAAATCACGAGAGGGAAATTTTAATCAGTATTTTCTATCTCAGAGTAGATCTCTTTATCGTTCGCCATATTATTCCTCTTTCCCTTTATGAGAAACACGTCCTATATTTTGCACTAACTAAACTGCAGTCGTTGTTAATCGATCTGCATGGGATTTCTATTTCCGTTCGACTGCACGGTTTACATCGCACCGACGGATCATCAATACTCGATGATGGAGTGTAAACTTCGTCAGGTCGACCGGAAGTAATCGAAACTGGGCATTTACGCAAATCCTCGGTAATAAACTGACGATTTTATATTTTTTTAACTCATTAACGTCTCGCACGAGACTGTAGAACCGCACGATATCTTTTTCTCGTTGACTGCAGTAACGAGATTTCAATGTCACCGGTGATTTTACGAGAAAAACCAGGCGTCATTAATGAGTGAGGCAGGATGTTTGCGTGTAAAATAGCTTTTTTATGATTATTTTATAAGATATATACACACACATACATACACAGGAGGCTTTTATCAGCTGTCGGCGGAAGAAGCAATTCTACGAAAATTATAATGAACGTTAGACGTTTGCGTTTTCATTTATGGTAATATGTATGGATGGATAATATATATGGATTATTACTATAGACTGTAGATTGTAAGTGAGTTCCGCGTGCCTTGTACACCATAAAGCGCGTCCATTATTTATTTATCGACGGATTGTAATAAGCTTTTTATATATCGCGAGAGTTGCATGTAATGTGTGAACACTTTTTCCTAGATCTGTAATAAAGAATCGATCTTTTAATACATGTGGATACCACTCATTAAATATGCACACTATAACTAATTGCTCACGTTTGTACAAAAGTAACAGTTGTCATAGAGCGATTGTACAAAAAGTCAAACTGTCACGGTACGATCTCTCGTGACGTTGTACTTCTCCAAATATTACGACGCAGTTCTCGCGACGCGAACGTTAGTACCTTTTTTACGGCTAACATTAAGGCTAACGGATCGTTATCGGGTGAACGCGAATGTATTATTCATAATTGTAAATTTGTATCGATCCAGACGTCTAAATTTAATTACTGTCTGTTCGAGGCATAATTATGAATAAACTCGTCGCACAAATATCTTGTTTAAGGCGTGATTGATCTTGTTTATTGGTTTCACTTTGTTATATGTTTTTATATATACAAGGGTGTGCAAAAAAGATAAGAGCTGAATAATTTTGAAAATATACAAGATAAAGAAAAATCCAGTCAAATACAGATGTGGTAGGGCTTTTTTAAGTGACGCATCAACTATTGTCTGAAACGTTTTTTTTATTTTTATTGACCAAGGAAATTTTTAAATCATCAAGTTAACAAAAGTTAGGGCACTATTGTAGCAGCATATTCTTGAAACCAAATAGAACTAAACGTCCCTAACTAAACGAAACTAAACGACGTTTGTCGGAAGAAAAAATGGTACTAGACGTACCATTTTTTCTTCCGACAAATAGATATCGAGATATCGTAAGCTTGAAAAAGTGACTAAATTGTCCTGAAATATCTCAAAAACTATTAGACAGATGAAAAAACGTTTCACACAAAAATTGTTCAAATTAATTAGTAGAAAAAGATGATGTAATAAAAAATAGGGATTTCCATTTAAAAAATTCAGAGCGACCTTCTCGTAAGCTTGACGCTGTTCAAGGTCATACTAGTATTGCTATGTGATACGTTACTTAAAAATAAAACTCCACCACTTTTGTATTTAACATTTTCTTTTATCTTTTCAATACACATATTTTCAAAGTTACTGAGGGGGTCTGATCTTTTTATCCCCCGTATATATATAAATAGCCTGCTTTATTGGTTTCACTTTGTTGTATGTTTTTATATATACAAGGGTGTGCAAAAAATACACTCTATATATATATATATATAAATTATGTGCGTTACAGTTGATTGCATTGCGTATAATAACTAAATAAAATAGGGGAAGAAATACAACAGTGTTCTCAGTATGTATATATTTTCTCGGAGCACTATTTACATATATACAGTAAAGTGTGTGATAAAATATATAATAATTGATCAATCGACTCGTTAGCGCTACCTCTTCCTTGGATTTATCTAAACGTACGTTAATTTAAAGTCTTAGATGTAATCTATAAAGATAAGGCTTGCTCCTCGCTAAGATGACACAATTTATACTCTTCCCTTTCTCCTGATTCTTCTGCAATTTTCTCATGATCCTTGAAAATTTTTCTTAAATTTTTACTTTAACTATGTGCGTTCGTATAGCGAGACTCGTGTGAAAATCCAAATCATATTTTATCCTGAATACGGTGAAATTGAGATAGAATAAGAGAGGAAGAGAGCAAGAAAGTTTAGTACTTTGGTGCTTCGGAACAATGAAGATGAAAAGTGTTTCCCTGTTGTGTACATATTTCTCTCGGAAAAACAGTTTCAAGCTGCAGGAGAAATTGGTTAGGAAGATTGAAGGAGATTATATCTTCTGAAACTTTTTCGCGAATGTCGCATAATTAGTTACTTTCACGTTAGTTTAGTATACATTATATAATCTATAATCGCGCGCACGCGTATAGTTGGAAATTTGTTCAATCCGCTCGGTGAACGGAGACTCATCTAGCATGCAAAAGGTGAGTTAAAAAGAATTGGTAAAAATTCATTTCGTGAAGTTTCGAACTTCTAATCTGCTTCAACAGCGATTAATCTCGCAATTATCGAATTTGCTACTCTACTTCTTTCCCTATTTCTCTATATATTGAATTTCTCATCTAAAATGGCGCCGTATTATCAAGAGGAAGGATAAACCCCTCACCCCTAGAATTAAGTACATATTAAAGTAATGTTCGTCCTCTCTCTCTTTCACACTTTTTTTTTTCTCTCTCTCTCACTCTCTCTCTCTCTCCCTCTCCCTCTCTCTCGCTCCCTCTCCCTCTCTAGTTCACATTTGGCATTTAGATACGTCGCTAAATATACCGTGCGCCAATATATCGAGAGTAAAAAGAGATAAAAGGGGATCCAAAAGTGTGAAAATTGCAAGTCCCGACTTCGAAGACAACGTGTTTCTAAGTGAGCTCGTCAAAATGAATTTTTGTCAATTCCCTTCAACGCGCCTGGAACCCCGTGCAGGATCCTGTCGTCCTTGCCGGTCGATTCCCGACAGGAAAGCATTTCTAGCGCATCTTGTGGCTCGAGCATGCGTCCTTGAAGTTGGTCGCGTTGAACGGCACGAAGTAGTCGTCGTGCAGTTGCCTGACGATGTTCTCAATCGGGCACAGCTTGACGGCCTTCTTGCCCGGTTGCTCGCCGTCGTCGCTATACGTGTTGGCGTTCCTGCAGAACGGGATCTTCGGGGTGAGGTCTCGGCCGTTGGCGACCACGCGAAAGTAGAAGTCGCTGGCCAGCCGATTGTCGTTTCGCGGGTTGATCTTGTAGACCTCGATGACGAGCCTCGAGGCGTAGTGCGTCGCCATGTCCGAGACTATCCCGAGGGCCGTGGCCAGGTACTCCAGGGTCTTGTCGTGGCCAGAGTAGAAGACGACCTTGGGCCTCGCCTCGGAGATGATGCGCAGCATGAAGGTGACGATGCCGCGCAACATCCCGTAGGCCTTCAGCAGCCCGTATTTGTTGCGGCTGCTGCTCTTGGCGAGCTGCTTCGACTCCCAGTCCGTGTAGGCGAACAGCCCGGTCACATGGTCGCTCTTCACGCACGTCCGCTGCGTGTCGAGGTCCGTGCACGGCAGCGAGGCTCCGTGGCACACGTACGTTAATAACGCGTCCCTCAGCGTGTTGGGGTCGCAGGTCTGCGCTTGATCCGGAAGCTCGAACACAGCACTCGCCGCCTGTCTGATCAGCTCGCCGACGGCCGGGTGAGACTTGAGGTGGCTGGACGTCTCCTGGGGAGAGACGGGGTTACTTGAGTGGGGCGGAAAATCCGACATTGTCGACATTTTAACTATTTCGCTATTTTTCACAAAACTATTCTGCGCGAATTAGAAGAACGGAAGGTGATGTGTGTGGCTCTGGTGGCTTTAGAGAGTTCTCTGGCGTGTGAAACGGTGAAAGGCAGGCGATCTCTGCAAATCTCTTCCGAAAAGAAGAAAACAAAGAGACTTTGCAATGGAGTGTTCGTCTGATTGACCGCGTTCTTTTCGTCGATAAAAGAAAAAAAAGAATGCAACAGTCCGTACTTTCTGCGCGCGCGACATGTATCCGCGATAAAAAAGATGAGAGAGAGAGAGAGAGAGAGAGAGAGATTTATTTGCAGCGAAAAAAGCTACCATCGGCCGCAGCTTCGAAACTGTCCGGCCTCTAGCGGGACGATTGGATTTCCTGAGAAAGTAGGAAGAGAAGCTACGTAGATTATTTCTCGGACCTCCCTGAGAAAGTGCGATGAAATTTCGGGGCGGTCGAAAATCAGCTCTTCGTCGGGTCGAGAAGGAGAAGCAACGGCGATAAGCTTTGCATATCTCGCTGAGAAAGCGAGTCGATTAATTTGGAGGGACTGGCTGCTTTGCATAATTATTCACATTTTGCGTGATTATTCCGACAGCACTGAGATTTCGCGGATTTTGCCACCACGGCTTTGTTTCTAACACGCACGTTAATTATGCGCGTGTCTCCTTCTTCCGATGTTTACGCTTCCGCACGCCCACACCCAAGAAAAAGTATTCTATTTGCAAAATGATTTTTCCCAGAAGCCTCTTATAGAGAAAGGATTCCTCTTTCGACAAAGCGATCAAAGTGCCACCATTCATCTAAAATTTATTACTCTGTTACACATTATTCTGTTTTCCTCTTATTTCAAGAGGATTTCCTCTCATATCAATTAATTTTCCCCCTATATGAAGAGGAATATGTTGACTCGAATGTCGGCTTCTTCTGTTCAGTCATGCTCCAGACGCGAACGAAAAAATAACCATATGCTTACGGGTCAGATTATTCGGAGCGCTTTTCAGAAAGAAGCTGTGTGTGCTGCCGTAACACATGACGAAGATAATTTACCTATATTTGGTCAGGTATACAGTTTATAATCTATTGCAAGAAGTTGGATAATATATTCTTTCTTTGAACTATGTTTCATACAATTCGCGACTGCGATGTCTTTTGATTTGATGCAAGAGCACAGGAAGAGTTTCCTTCCGCGTTGTATTCGATTACACGTCATTACGTTTCATTAGATCGTCGCCCGAACAACAACAACGCCGGGCTCTCACTCTCCTCTCTGCGCTCGTTAGTTCATTATATACCTGGACAGCCTATTTACACATTACGTCTCAGTCTCGTGCCTTTCCTAATGTACCGCCTAATGTCGCTGTCGTATCACCTTGAGGTACTGCTTCAAGAACTTCTCGGCGGCCGGGCAGGCGCATTCGTTGTTGCAGAACGCGTAGCTCTGGCTCTCCTGCAGGCTGATCCTCGCCAGGCTCTGGAAGCCGTCATTCTCGAAGAGCGCGTAGAGCAGAGCGACGGCGCTCTGCACGGTCCTCCGGTAGGAGGTGCTGTAGACGATGATGTCCTTGCCGAAGGAGGTGCCGTTGCCGAGGTTCAGCTTGTGGTAGTACGCGTTCCTCAGCAGGATCCCGGTCTTCAGCAGCTGCAGGATGCCCAGCGTGGTCAGCTGGCCGATCTTGCAGTCGCGCGCGTTCGCCGGTAAGATCGGTAAGCCGTGGAACGGGCCCAGGAACTGGGCCCAGGCGGTCCTCGAGTAGCTCGACACGTTCTGCACGAAGTTCACGTAGTTCTCGTAGATGCTGTCCAACTCCGTCGCGCCGCCGCCGAGCTCGCCGGCGCAGTTGATGCTGCTTATGTTTCGTATGTGCGTCAAGGGCCCGCGGTCCCCGTGGCGGATGAAGATCAGCACGCCGCCTAGCGTCAGGTTGCCGTCAACTCGACCTGTCCCGTGAAAGAAGGAAGATCATCAAGCATGTCGCGCGCGTGTAATTCGCGATCTGCGCCAGAGAGACGCGGTTATCATTTCACTCGAGACGACGCGACTCTGGCGCGTTAACTAACGCGATTCGTTGAGCGCGGGACGGCAAGCTGGAATTGAGAAAATATTCCCAAGGGAATATATGCAAAACGGAAATATGAAATTCCACGTGCCGGCGAGAGAGTTCCTCAAGTCACTCGGCAGCCGCGAGGTAGCAGCGAGGGAAGATATCTCTTCATGTAAATTAAAGAACCGTCTTCCTCTTGCTTTACGTTCCTTTACGGCGCGTCATTACTCAGCAGCTGTGTGCTCTTTGCAAAATCCGCTCCGGACGGATGCTCGTTTCGCTTCTGGCGAACGTGAAATTTTCAAAATCCTGTTGCTCAGCTCGCATTTGTTTGCGCGATCGCCGCAGGGAGATCGACGAGCGCGGCGTCTCTCGTCGATCTCCTTTCGCGCAAAAATCTCTCTATCGCGACTGGAATTCTCCTTTCTTCTTTGCTTCGGAATTTTCGCGCGAGAATCTCGAGACTCTTCGCGCGGCTCACCTACCTTCGGTGTCTGCTGCTATCTCGTGCGGCAAGTTGCAGAAGCGGAAGATCTTCTTCGTCTTCGCGTCCGATCTGAAATTCCTCGGGAACTCTCGGACCGACAAGTCGTTGCTCGACGCTCTGCTTTGCACCGAGGTCTTCTCGTCTATGCCGATATACTTGTACATACCTGCATTGACACACAAATGCATTAGGTTGGTGCAAAAATAATTGCGATCATTTTATCATGTCAAGTTTGGCGCCGACTCTTCTACCGCTACCGTTGTATCTCTTTTCTACACCCCGCAGAAAAAAAGTAATTTCAGAACAAGCGGAATCATTTGAATTTTAGAAGATTTTATTCTTATACATGGCCTCAAGAGGATTCCTCCAAGATTAAGAAGAAAATATTATAAATATATTATTCTTAAAGTTAGAGGGATTATACGTTACATATATAATGCAAATCTCATTGATTTTATATATATAAATTTTCTCTTATATGCGGATTATTTAATCTTTCTTTAAGAGGATTATTATTTATTCTTATATTGTATTTTATTCTTACTGGTTATACTAGTTGGGAAAATTAATTGATGCAAGAGGGAAACCTCTTGAAATAAGAGGAAGACAGAATAATATGTAATAAATTTTAAATGAATGCTTCGCTTCAATCGCTTCGGAAAGAGAAATTCTTTCTCTATAAAGGGCTTCGCTTAGAATATGATGAGACTATGGGAAAGATCATTTTATAAATACAATAAATTTTGTCTTGGGTGCAGAATTCTATCTTGTGGGAAGAAACAAACTTGTTTCCCGTTGGGAGAAATGTGCGCAGGCCAATGGTCTTTATGTTGATCGATAAATATAATTTTTAACTGATATATGCGTCTTTATGTAACTCGGTATGTAAAAGCCGCAATTATTTTTGCACTAACCTAATATATACAAATATACACACACGCATGCAAAACTCAAATCGGCAGCCAAAGACACTCGGCGTGCTCGAGTCGCATATTAAAACGCATATGATTGCCCAATATCGAGTGTCATTCCGAAACCTATGGAGTATTTGCTAACGCAATTAGCACACGATACGATGACACCTACGTAATTATTTATCAAGGCTCGCGTTTCAGCGGAATCCGAGCGGGCCAACCCCATTTTTAGACCTCTTCGTCTCAATTTCACTCCTTCGCGAAACTTCCCGTCGAGGAAAGTTTCCAGAAGGAAGCTTCAACAACTGAAGCAGAATGTTTTCCGAGCACGTCTGTGCAGCGTTAGCTTTTGGTATTTGTGTATGAAACATTGTTTCCGCAACATCGAGCTTTTTTTATCTATTTTAAGTCGACGCAACCACACTCTCGAGTACCACTGTTTTCGCACGGAGTTTTACTTGTCGCGACTTTTTCACGGGTATATTTTATAGGAAATGAACGTTTGAGCAGTTTTTTAACTCTAGCAATTTTTTAACTCTAACAGTTTTTTACTCTTTTTTAACTTTTTAATGCAGAAATACGTTTCGATTTACAGGTATTTTTAGTTTCGTGTTTCCTGCGACCTGCGAATTTGGATGTATTTTTATGTATTTTTTACTCCCCCCTCCACACGGCCCACCGGTGTGTTCATTCGTCATACGTGTCATACGACGAACATGATGAAACGCGCCTTCCATATTTTATGGCAAAAGTAGAGCGAAACGGAGTCTCGTTGACATAATGTGACAACATTCATCCGGACGGTATCCATTATTGGAGAAAACTAAAGAGCGTTCTATTCTTATAATTCCATTATTAAAACCAAACAGGACTGACAGAGGACTAAAGGAACACAGAGGCGCTCAAGTAGCCGCGACGCAACGTCCGTACTCTCTATATTAAAAAAAAAAAACGAAAACAAATTCAGTAATCCCTCTCCGTCTCCGTGCCCGCGCGTCACAAGGATTTAAAGATCCAAAGATCTCAGAGCTCCGCCGGCGGAGCTGACAATCGATCCTGCAGGAGCAAAGGTTGCTGCCGTTGCTACTGAAGGTCCCGCGACGGAGAATTGTGAGAAATCCGGCGAATCGAAAATACACAACGAGTGAAGGAGGTCGAACGGATCAAACCACAAAACAAAGAGAGAAAGAAGCAAAAAGCAGAGACGAGAACCAAACTTCGCACGATCAACGTCGCCGGTCGAACAGATCAGTCAGCATCCTTCGCATCGAAGCCGAAATCGGCGGCAAAGTGCGAGAGAGCCGGTCGGGGTCGGCGCTTCTCAACCGCTGACTTCCTCGCCGTCTAACGAGGCGAGGTTCGTTCTTCCCCGAAGAGCTCGCGTCGAGCCGGCATAAGCAACGAGCATAATATACGAACCGTAAGCAGCAGCCGTATCGCTGCGATCAGTCGAGACGCGAGTGCGACTCGCGGTGGTACCTGAGGAAGCTCCTCGGGAAAGAACGGAGGGGAGCCGCGCCGCCTCCGGACGAAAGAGCAACGCACGAAATTGGCAACATGGGACTGTGATTACCAGCGACCAGCAGGAAGATCCACACGCTGAGGATCACGTAGCAGTAGAACGCCTTGTGTTGGTAGGACAACCGGACCATTTCTGCGAGCATCCCTCGGCGGTTTCGGGCCCCGCGGGACCGATTCGCAGGGCAGATAGCGATAACGACGTGCCGTCGCGACCACGACGGCGGGGAGCGACACGACGAGGACGCGCTTGGCTTTCCGTCCTGCTTGAGGCCGATCGAAGCTGCATCTTCAAGCACCCTTCGTCCACCCTTTCCGCATATTTGTCGGCAGCCCGGGGACGCACCTGATCACCTGGCCGACGCGAGCAGTTCCCGCGAGGAGCGACGACGACGAAGGCGACGACGGCGACGACGACGACGACGACGACGACGGCGACGACGGCAGCGGGAAAAATCCGAGCCGACTTCCTTCCGCGTCTCCCCGAGGTGGAACTGCCGGTCTTGACATGGCGATAACAGAGAGGGCTAGATATACGCCAGAGTGTCCCAAGCGCAGGCGCTGCCACCCTCCACCCCTGAAGAATCGTGCAGTCTCGCGCGACGGGGTGGTCGGTCTACAGGGTGGCTTCCCTACGCTACGTTTATCGACCTTCTTTTATCCGCGCCGCTTATCAATTGGAAAGCCCAAGCGCGCGGCCGCGGACTGCAGAAGCCGGTCGGTTATGCACTTTCCGTCGAGAATGGAGTTTCTCGTTGGCTCGCGCTCGCGCGCCTCGTCAGCGATTTATTAGAAATAGATCGCTGGATGCAAATCGCGCGGGCTTTCTCTGGCCAACAATTACCGGCCGACATGGCTCGCTCGACATCCGGCGTCTTACACACATGAGAGACATGTAATCTCCCGTTTAACGATATATTAAAGAGATAACTCTTTCCCTATCTGAGAGAGACGCATCGGGCCGCTCGATCTCGTCCTTGCCCGCAAGTCGCGCCGACGAAGGATCGAAGCACGATTCTCACCTCGTTCTCGTTGTTGGACGTCTCTTTGATGTTTCTTGCGTGTTCCAACGCAACTCTAAAGTTTCTCATTGCCACACGCGCGCGGAAATCACCTCGGTGGCTACTCACGAGGACAGAAGAAGCGGAGGAACTGCAGGGCGTTCCTCATCTTTAAAGCTCGTACCTTCGGAGCTTTCGAAGCCGCTCGTCAGGCGCTCGTTGCAGCCGGTTATTATTGGAGCTCTGATGTCACACACACACACACACGACGCGGGGTCAGCCGCGATAATTTCTGCCCGGCGCGCGAACTGTCCAGCGGCAAGGATCAGCGGCGTTATCGTGCGCCGCAAAGAGCGAAGAGCGGATTAGCAAGACGAGCGTCGAGCGCTCTCTTCGGCTCGCTCCAAGTCGATTAGCCCAATTCATCCAATTCTCGGATTCTTTCGGCCCGCGACCGGCCGTCGCCATCCTTGCACCGTCTGTCCTCGCGATCCCTCCGGGGCGCCGGCCTCTAATTCGGCAAGACTCCGCGGCGGCTGAAAGACCGTGAAAAGCAAACCTCGGCTGCCGCCGCCGGAGGAAAGCGGATGCTGACGTTACCAGCCAGCGGCTCCTCGCTCAGCCATTCTCTCTCTCTTTCTCTCTCTCTCTCTCTCTCTCTCTCTCTCTCTCTCTCGCCGGCTCGCCGGTAAATATATTCCGTTTAAGACTGATGGCTAGATTGTCCCGCAGTTGGCGGTTAGTCTCGAGTTCTCATATCAGGCCAGTTGACGCGAGTTACATCGGCGCGGTTACACGCGGGTAATCGCGCCCGTCTACTGCATTGTCGCGCGACTGTCATTGGTAATTGAACGCCCCCGCGCGACATTGTAAACTCAAACGCTCCTCTCAGACGGGAGCGGTATTCCTTGCTAATAAGGATCCCCGTCTGAAAGCAACGCCTCACGCCCCGCCGACACGCTGAGGCGTACTGTCTCTTGCTGGAGACAGCCGTCTGGATGGCGTCCTTCGGAAATCCTAAGGACATCCAGAACGGATATCTTGTGGATATCCAGATTTGATCCCGGGATATACTTTGGGTGTTCTGAGAGACAGAGAAAATGATGGCTGAATATCAGCCTTTGGGACATCCACAGAATGTCCTGTCGGGCGTTCCGAAGGCCTCTAGGATGTATTACGGACATTTCTTAGGCGTCTGAAGGAAAAGGGAGAAATATGGCGAAATATTGAATTTGCTGACCATCGAATTTCACCACAATTACGTCTTTTCTGTTCGAATTGTAAATTTACACTTACGGTTATTTTCCTTACGGGAGAAAAGCACTTGACTCGATTCTAAATCAGAATTGACAAGTCGAATGTATTAACAGTTCCACTTCGTTTTCGGAAACAAAAGTTATTGAATCTCTTTGGATTTCAATCTAGAATAGAATTCTAAAACCTTTCGATTCTAAAAGAAGTCGGACTATTAATTCAATTTGTCAAGTGTCTTCTCCTCCTCGTCGTCGCGCATTTTTCCTTCATCGAGTGTGACGAAAATCAGAGCTCGCGCAACCAGCCCCAGCGCAGGTCGCACGCTCAATTATCAATAGCACGCATTTCGACTTCGTCGACAGACGTCGACCTTTTGTTTCCGCCACGAGGACGTCGAATCATCAACGTTGAGTCGCCCTGTAATTATCATCGGGGCGATTGTCATTTGTAACGTCTGTCGCATCGCACCGGGAGAGATCAGAGCGATGGTATAACGTGGTTCTACGCATTACTCCAGAGAGAGAAGAAGAGAGAGAGATAGAGAGAGAGAGAGAGAGAGAGAGAGAGAGAGAGGGAGAGAGAGAGAGAGAGAGAGAAAGAAAATAAATCCGTGATAAGTCGCGCGATAACAGCTGCGGAGTATTTTTATACGGACAGGCCAATCGCTCGAAATAGGAACGAGCTCCGAGATCCGCGAGCTAAACAAATAACAATAAACATACATGCCTCCTCGTCTCTCGTCGGTTATCGCTGAAATTTCACCCATCGCGACGCTCCGTGATCCCGAGAGGCGAGAGGCGCGAATCGTCATCCCGATCGCGAAGATCAGCGCTACTCGCCGACAATACGACTTTCAAGTATCGCAAATCGCGCGCGCGCGCGCTTACGAACCCTCGCCGTCTCATTATCATCAGCATCATCCATCGTCTACCCACGTGCCCGATTTCTGTCGTAGCCTTGGCAAGATCATTGCCACCGCCATGATCACAGCAGCCATCATAGCGCACGAGCGGGTCGAAGCCGCAAATTGTGTAGCAACCGAAGTCGATGAAGTCTGTGAGCTAGATCGGCCGATTTCTCGCAAAGGTCCCGCTGATCGCCTCAGGGCAGGCCTAAGAAGCTCGTGAATCAGTCATGTGGTCTTCGGCTCGACGCGAATTTCTGGGGGCCGTCGCTCGTGCACTCGACTCGTTGAAGCCGAAGCCGCGATCCTTATCGTAATCGCAACGAGGGACGCGTGCTTTCGTTAAAAATGCCATCACCGCAATTTGTAAAATTTAGGCGAGCGAGCTCGGCAGCTAAATTAGAGCTTGTAAAGTGTCAAATAAAATCGGTCTCGAGAAATGCGGCCGTCCAGGTCGCCGGCACTCTTTGCGGCCCTGGTGTGCGCTTCGTCATGTGCATTTCTCAATTTGACGCTCCATGTGTGAAATCCCTCGCTTGGATTGCGAATATAATTAGATTGCGAATTCACATACGCATGTGTTCCTTGCCTGATAAGGTGATTTCAGATTACAGTCGGAAAAAAGTGTGAAAAACCGGAGCCTTCGATGACGCGAAGGGGAACTAAGCATGAGAGAGAGAGAGAGAGAGAGAGAGAGAGAGAGAGAGAGAGAGAGAGAGAGAGAGAGAGAGAGAGAGAGAGAGAGCGACTCTGTTTATTATATCTCTGGTTATTATATCTTGCTAAAAGACGAAGTAGACGGTGTAACTTTCTTATGCAAATCCAATGCAAATTGTAGAGCGCGGTAATAGAATTTTAAATGTTGCAGATGCCGCTCTGCGGAGAGTTAATAAATGGCTAGCGCGCGTGGCGTTGAAGTAAAGTTTCAAAACAGAGACACTCCTTGCGTCCCCTCCAGACATCCTTTCCTCCAGGACTATATTGCCCATTTGAGCATAACAGTTTCCGTAAACAGCCTCGGAAAAGAGAGCGGTGACTACTTCCCCGGCGGTTTCAGGCCCGCCAGAAGACGCGGTCTGCTTTTCTCTCGTATTATCTTGTATATTAAAATGAATGAAATAAATCACGAGTGCAAAAGTGCAAAGTGCATTTCTAGGAGCGTCAACATTGCTCGAACAGCTAAGAAGGCGGAAATTGAAGCGTCTGTTAGAGTTGTTAGGTCACCGAGATTAAAACGTCGACGCCACCGACAACTCGCGAACTTGAAGCGAGCGTCGAAATCGGTCAGTCAAGACGCCGAAAATCCGCACGCTTAGCGATCGTAACAACGAAGATGCTTCCTGGTCTTCGTCATCTTCTCTCGGTGTCGATATAATCCTGGATAATGGTTTGTCAAATCGTTCCCTTTATTAGATCGAATCATAAGTAATTTCCGTTTCTGAGAACAAATTGTAACAATGTATTTATCGTCCCAATGACTCATAATACTCGACCTCAGAGGTCAGAATCTGGCTTGGAGCAGAGAAGTGTCCTCCTTCTCAGTCTTGTCACGGCAGTGGCAGCGGTAGGCATCGAAATAAAATAATAGGTTTCTCGACCCTGAAACGGAGGGACTCTGGAGGTGTGTACTCGATACGCAATGTTATGGGGGTTTCAGCAGGGGAGCAACGTCGCGGAGACATGGAAAAAAATGTGCAGCGTTTATGGCCAAAGAGTCATAACTAGCATCGGCAAGTGCAAGATTAGTTCGCGAAATTTTATTCCGGAGATTGAAAGATGAAGAAGTTCGCCGGACTTTGACGATGACGCTTTAAAATCGCATCGGTGGAATGCAACCGACGGCAAGGTACTCGGGAATCAGCAAGTAAGCTAAACACGTCACAATCCACCATATGCCGCCACTTGGAAGAGACAGGGAAAGTCAGCAAGCTGGGTGTTTCGGTCCCGCACGCTCTCAGCGAAAAGAACGAAATCATTTACCCATGGAGACAAGTCGCTTCTTAATAATACCATAACAAGCAATGGAAAATAGGTCACGTACGACAATGTTCAGGTCGCAGAAGGCAGCGGACTGACAAGGATAAATCTCCACTACCCCAAAGCTGAACTTCAGGAAGCTATTATTCATCTCAGTTTTTAAATCGCAATGAAACACCAAATGCAAATTTATACGTCCAGTGGCTGCGGCGTGTCCGTCAAAGTTTGACGGAAAAGCGTCCTGCGCCCGTCAATAGGAGAAATGTTGTTCGCCGCCGCAAGAGTAACACGGAAAAACATTTCGGAGCTGGGCTGATTTGTTTCGCCCCACCCCTGCCATACTCACCGATTATTACTCTTTTCGATCCCTGCAAAATGCTCGGATGGGGAAAAATTTCTCTAACGAAAACCAGCAGATTCGAGAGGTGGTCGAGAACTTTCTCACGTCAAAACCAGCGGAATTCTACGTTATCAATTGAAAAGAGCCTCTAGACGGGGCCCTTTTCAATCATTAATAACCTAATAATCATCGCGATTTTTGCAAAGTAGTACATGACTTTTCTTCTCAGTTCGACCTGATTAATCTTCACAGTTTCTCGTTTCCAAAAGACCCTGGACACTCTGTATATATTTATATATACAATATATACGAGAATAT